TCAATCTATAAACATTGAGGTAAACATATATAAAACAATATAGGTCTAATATTTCTTTACTGTTATACAACATGTTCCAAGCCCATCAAAATGAGAAACACTTCCGATCGTTCCCTTGTAAGACGCGGGCACTCGCGCGAAAATGAAGATAAAATATTATTATATAGATACACTAAGGGAAGGAATATTAAGGATATTATTTGCCTAAATATGATTGTCATAACAAGATATTAACGTTAGTTTTCGTCCATGCATACAAGATGGTTGTAGCTACTTCCATAGTACTCTGGAAGTGGTACACTAACTTTCTTTACTGCCTATCTCTATATGTGTTTGAGCAGTACTCTCAGTGCTGTATGGTGCAATCAAACTCTACGGATCTCTCAACCATAGTATTTGTTCTGCGGACCACAACAAAGAGACAGCAATATTCCTTCAGTTAAGGTAACTATGTATACGAGGATGTACTAACTGAACATTACACAAGAACTAAGAACTGTATAGATGGGCACGTAATAACAGTAACATTTAATACCTTGTCTATTTCACTTGAAATCATATAAATGTTTTCCCTAATTATAGAATATGTGGATATAACAACCAGTAATAGTTTTCTCCATGTAAAGATGAGATAATGCAATCGCTTAATCTGAATGGCTATATATATTTTTATCTAAATAAAAGCGAACATTATGTATGTGACAAATTAACATTTAAAAATCACATTCAGTTACTAAAAAAGGTGATATGACACAGTTACTATATAATCAATAATGTCTTATCTTTTCATGTGGCGTCGAAATATTTCGATTTATTAACATTCCAAGAATTTCAACTAACCAAGTCTCATATCATATTGATAACGAAAATATCTCGGCGTTAGAGAAACGATATCGAGAATGCACCAGAACGTCGGAACGTTGCCGTTGTCGTCGTGCAAAGAAAGAATGGATAATAACAAAAGAAGAAACATGCGAGACGGAAGAGACGTGTTTGAGCGCATTCGAGAAAAAGGGACGTCAGTAGAGAAAAGGGAGGAAGGAAGGAGGGGAGAGAGAGAGAGAGAGATCGCAATCACCACGAAAATACGGTTGTCCTCGTCCAGAGTAGCTGTACGGTAGGGTAGGTCTTTGTTCGGAGGGTGCGAACTGCCAGACAGAAATCTCGTGACACAGCCAGCTGTTCGAATCACGGCACGGGGTCCGCCTTGACGTGTTCACAAGTTTATTGACATTCGCTTTTTTCGCTCTTGTTGTTACCGCCAGTGAATTTTTCCTCCGAAAAACGCGAGAAAGAAGAAAGTGACGATGTAAAAGAAGGTTAAGGCCGACGTTGCCGGGCACAGGCCATTTATAAGTCGCTGCCAAGTCGCTCTTGTTTAATCCAATACATTTTCGCGAGAATTATTTCTCAAAATTAGCACGAAATTCTTTAGAACGGTTTAATCTTTAGTTGTGATATTTTTTTACTTGCAAAAAAGTATTTTTGATCAATTTCGATAAAGACATTAGTTAAGGAGATATTTTCAATATTTTAATGCGTCTGATTTGTAAATGTGGCACGCGCAATTTATTCTAAATTTAATTTTTTATTTGCAACTAAGTACGTGTTCTTCAGTTGTAATACGACACTAATAAAAGATTTTTCGTCAATTTCTTTTGATATTTTATTTACTTTATAGAGTAAAGACCAAAAGCGACATACCACTTTGTTTTTGAAGGTTATGTCTTAATGTAAAGCTCGAAATATAAATGTAAATATATGTACATGTAATTGGAAATACTCCCTATCAGATAATATATTTTTACTAAAATTGTTTCTAGATTTAAAACAAAAAATATTTTTGTAAAATGCACAAAAATAGATGCAAAGAAAATAGGTGCCAAAAGCGACATACTTATTGGAAGTTATATAACATGCTGCATATATAATAATATTTAATAATAGTTCATTAACGGTTAAATAATATCCATTTATTCAAAATATAATGTTCAAAAGGGAAATATAATTAAATAAAAACATATCTTTGGCATTTCCATCTTCTTCATTTCTCACATATTTTACATATGTTATATTTTTAAACTAAACAAAATTAAAGAAATGTCACGTCATAATGGGAAGTTAGAATCAGGTTATATTAGTCACAGAGTATCGCACCTATCGCATGTCACTTTAAGACACATTCTCATAAAATTTTTCAAATTATACAGTAAAAAAATGACGAAAATAAAAATATTCAAAAAATATTTTTACAAAAGCCAGATGCATGTAGAACTTAATATTGAACAAAAAGATAATTATCGCTGTTTAGTCTACGTAAGTTATCAATAAAAATCATAGAAATAAAACTTGCGAATTTCAAAAACTCGATATTTGCTAATTTAGCATATAAAAGAACAAGAAATATACCAAGTATGAATTTTTCATGACTTAATTGATAAAACAAATTACGTTTATATTAGTTTCGATAACAACATTTAATATATGAGATATAAAGGTATGTCGCTTTAGGAGACCTATGTCGCTTTTGGCTACTTTCCCCTACAATATTTTTCACACTTTGTATCTCTTAAAGGTCTTTGGAATCGTACGTTCATATGTATTTTTCTTCCTAAAATGACTAAAAATTAACTACTAAGATATTAGACGGTACTTAACCACTTTGCTGGCAAGCGCGCAAAGTGTTCGTCCCACGACTGACAGGCACGCACTATTGTACGCTTTTATCTCCGAAAGAATTCTCCTTATTTCTTCACCAAAAATGCATTACTAAAATTAAAAAGTCACTAATTTCAAATTTTCGACGTCAAAAAATACAAATTTTATGTCAAAATTAATTAATTTTTAACCCTCAATGCGCTGTTTTCTGTTCAATACATACCTGAGTTTAATTTGTTTTATTAGATTTCTTTCTTCTACATTAATTTAAGGACTATATATATAAGATTATGCTTTCATACTATTGTTTGTTAACAAAGCATAATCTTAATTTTCAAATCAATGTAGAAGGACGTAGAAATGTAGAAGGAAATCTAAGAAAACTAAATTAACGGACATATTAAACAGAAATCAGCGTATATTGGGAGTTGAAAATTAATTAATTTTGACATAAAATTTGAAACATGAATGTGAAATTAGTGACTTTTCACTTTAATAACATATTTTTTATGAAGAAATAAGGAGAGTTCTTTCCGAGATAAAAGCGCACAATATTGTGCGCCTGCCAGCGAAGTGATTAAGAAACATCCTGTATATCGAAATCGTTGGTTCACGTCTGGCATTGACTGTGTTCAGCAAAGAAAGCTACTTTTGCAACAGTTGTAAAATTCGTGAATCTGATTGGTACATGCTCTTAGATTTAGCCAAAAATAAAAGTAAACTGAATCAGACTCACGAATTTTATAACAGTTGCGGAACAGCTTTCTTTGCTAAACGTAGTCATTGGCTAAACTTTTATTTGAGCGAGAATCAACTCTTTCCTTCGTGACGTCGCTGCGCTTTTCGCGCGCTCAGTAAATAAAGGGTGGCGCGCTCTTGCCAGCTTCCGAAAACAGTCCAATCGCACCACCCCTCGGAATAACAGAACACTTTCTTGCGAAAAGTGAGATTTATTTGTTCACGTAAAAACCATTGTCTCATATCCTTCGAAGAAGTATCGAGATTCAGGCGAATCGCGACTGAATCAAAATGCGCTTTAGACCGGAAATTGTTAATCACTGACACCCGATTGATCGTTGATTATTCGAGGCTCGTTAAATTGCTAACTGTTCCTAACCAAATTTCTCTTCTCTCACTCCCTCTCCCTCTCTCTCTCTCTCTCTCTCTCTCTCTCTCTCTCTCTCTCTCTCTCTCTCTCTGCATGATACGGAAAACGATGTCCAATCGCCCGCGTCGACTTGATTGACCGGAACAGTCAATACATTCCTATCCGAGTATCCTCCGATGCTTCAGCTGAATACCCGGATGAAAGCTGTGACTAAGGAACACGAAATCTCCAGGACCAAAGAGGGTCGTTGAACTCTGAATCGACTAGCGATCGAGTCGATGCAAATTCCGCCGGGAGACTCCGCAAGATAGCAGATAAGAAGCTACCTTCCCCCGAAGACTATCACGTTACACATAGACGCGGTTTCCGCGGGTGCTAAGTGGTGCGAATAAAAAATACGGCCGCAGATATCGCGCCTCGTATCGCACGGTATCGCGCGTCTCCAGCGGGTGCACTCGAGATGCCTCGCGTGTTTTTGACACATATGCTTTTGACGTTTCGCATCCGGTAGCGTCGCCACCGACGGCGACGCTCGCCGATTAATCGGCCGATCGGCCAAGATATCCGGACGAGTCGCGGCCGGTTGCAGCGGCCGTCGCGTCAGATGATACGTCAGATGATCGCGCGGCCGGCAAGACGCAGTCCGCTACATTAACAAGACGATCCGCGAGGAAGAATCGCACGCTCTCTTAATGTACGCGCCCTCTCTCTCCGTCTCACTCGCTCTCGCTCCCTCCGTCTCGCTCGCGCGAATCGAACATCTTACCTGCGTGCTTCTCTGCTTTCGGCGTGGAGGCCATCGTTGCCCGGTACGTGGTCGCGTGCCGCGGTTCCACTATCTCACCATTCCCGCGCACCGCCGCATCGTGAAGCACGCACTGGGGGCTGTTGCGGCGTTTTCAGTCTGATGTAAACCCGACGCGCACCGCTACATCTTCGTTTGTCGGCCATTTTTCGGGCTGGCGAGCGCGTGAGCCGCCATCGGACGGCCGAGCCGCGAACCGACGCCGCTATGGCGGACGCGCTGTCAATCGCGTGACATTTTACTCGGTGTCCTCCCGGTCCGCGTCCACCGGTGCACGGAACGACGACGGCTGTGCGTCCTCGCCACGTGCACGCGTTCTCGCGTACGAGCGTAGCGAGCTCAGTGGTGTTTGATCGTGCTGTGACACGCCTGTGTATCGATACGACACGACACGATAACAAGGCCCGTCGCGTCCTCTCCAGTCGCGACGACGATTTCGCGCTGCGTGAAGTCCGCCGACAGTGAGAGCGCGCCGAGCAGACACCGCGCGCCGGTACAATACCATGTAAAAGTTCGCGCGCGCCGGTGTACAGTCCGCCGCAAGAGTCGTCGTGCCCGCCGAAATTCGCGCGTTTCGCATTACACGGGAAAACGCGGTTTAGTCTTCTCGTTCTCTGTCACGCCAAGTGTCTTCTCGATAAAAGGATAAAGCTTAATTTTCTCGAAGATAAAGGCCAGATCAATTTAACTTTCAGCCAGGCACGAACAAACGATATAACGGGCTAAGATTTAACGCTCTTCATAGCACGCCGAATTCGAAATTTCTCACGACAGACATTCTGTCTCCTCGTGAACGCCCACTGATCGCTGCGCGGGAAGTCTCGCGTATTATCGTTTGTAAAGAAACGTGACACTCTATGCGATATGGGCAACTCCGGTCTGAAGCAGCATTACGAGACCGCGAAGAAGACCGGCACGCTGAAGCTATCGCAGCGAAAACTGGATGAGTTCCCGCAGAACCTCCGCGCCTTGGCGCCATTGTTGCGCACCCTGGACCTATCAGAGAACAAGTTCACCACGCTGCCGAACGACATCGGTGACTTCACGCTGCTGAAGCAGCTGAATCTTAGTCACAATCGGCTGATCGACCTACCTGGCATGCTGGGGGCGCTCGCGAAACTCGAAGGCCTCAACTGCGCCGCGAACCAGATCAGGTCGATCCCACCGTCGCTGGCGACGTTGGGCCATCTGAAGCAAGTCAATCTGTCTGACAATCAGATCTCCGAGTTTCCACTGGTGTTCTGCAACCTCCGCCATCTGGACGTTCTGGATCTATCGAGGAATCGACTCACGATCGTGCCAGACGCCGCCGCTGGTCTGCACGTAACCGAGCTGAACCTCAATCAGAACCAAATCACGACCATCTCCGAGAAACTGGCGGACTGTCCACGCTTAAAAACACTGCGATTGGAGGAAAATTGCCTACAACTGAGCTCGATTCCCCTGAGAATCCTCAAGAACTCCAAAATCTCGGTGATGGCGCTCGAAGGGAATCTCTTCGAAATGAAGCAGTTTGCGAATCTGGACGGCTACGACACCTACATGGAGCGTTACACCGCAGTCAAAAAGAAGATGTTCTAAGACCTGATTTTACCAACATCCTTAAACATCGATTAAACCTTAACCTGAATTTAAGTCCCTGTCTAAAGATAGTTCAAACTTCCCGGGAAAAAAAAAGATTATATATAATTATATATAAATATATATGATTATATATGAATTTTGTCCATATATGTGACCTTATATATGATCATATCTAATTATATATGTTCATATATAAAACGAAAATTATCAAATGAAAAAAGGAAAACATAATTTGATTCGATTAAACATCGATATCATGGGCTACCATAAACATAAGCATTTACTTCAATTGTATCTTCACAATAGTATTCTTTTCAATGTCGACATATATAATTATATATGATCATATATAACCATATATGGACAAAATTCATATATAAACTTTTTTCCCGGGTTAATCGATGTTGGTAAAACCGGCCATAAGGGACGGTCTTAGATCCGGTTCCACCGACGTCTTTGAATTCGATTAAACCTTAACTTAAAATTAAATCTTTGTTGAAAACAGTTAAACTCAAGTTAAGACTTAATCGACGTCGATGGGACCATCAGCATTGTACTTGTTTACACTGATCATTTAATGCGCGTACCAAGCAGTATTCTATCGAATTGTCTTAATTCCGACGATGCATGTAAGAACGATGAAATACCAAGTTAGGACGATATGCATCAAAAAGATCGTACAACTTTAATATATTATTGTTTGTACGCATCACCAAAATAAGGATAATATGAAATTACTAGTTGGTACATGTATTAAACAACCAATGTAAACAAATTAAAAGATAGAAACTCGTGTGAAAACGCTTACTAGCAGAGTTTTTATCCAATACTTTCCAATATTTTAGGATTTATCTCTTAAAATCATTTTATGAAAAAAAGTTTGTATGAATATACAGATATAGTCTGAAGAACTGTTTCAAAGATATAGGGTTAAAAATTCTATATTAAACATCTCCTAAATTAATGGCTTTATGAGAATCTTCTATAAGTATTTTTTGTGAGTAATTAATAACAATAAAAATTTGCGAAAGATTCTTTGAAAAGAATCTTTGATTCTTCGTTTTACTAGCGTACAAATTCAGAGCAATAATGTATTATTCATGTTTCTTTACGCCATTAAATTTTTACATAGGTAAAAAATAAAGGTAAAATCCTACTTATTTGTTAGACTAACTTTAAAAAAGTAACCTCTTTTCATTTAAGAGCTGTTAAAAAATAATAATTTTATAAAATTTTTAATACATTATATTTATAAAATATCTAGGACGAGACTTTTGAGATTATATATATATATTTATATAAATTTCTCTTTATAAGATGAGAAATCAACTCCTAAAATATTAGACAGTACTTAAGAAACGCCCTGTATATTATGCATTCGCAGTCTGCGAGATTGTTTACATCGATTTGGAGTTTACAACTAGTCGAATTCCCAAATCAGTGTAAGATTTATGTAATATTTTTGCAAATACAGTTTAGAATTTATTGTTTGTTTCACATGTCATAAATAATAGCATCTATATCTGTTTTAAGAAGCAAATATTAACTTATTTTTCACAAACAATTCACGTGGATTTAGATGTGAAAAATGAAAGTATTAAAGTAGGATCATTAATACTCGAGAAAATAATGTCTAAGAAGTCGTGATTTTTACATCATTTATTCTTTTTTCGAAACATATCAAACAAATTTAAATATGCACAAGACTTTCGCACACGATATGTGAAAGACGAATTTTCGTTTTTTTCTTTTTATTTAAGGTTTTTGATCCCTTGTTATGGAACTCTTGAGAGATGACGGCAAAAGCGATAAAACGCATGTCTAACATTCTTGTGTGTGTGTGTGTATGAAATACGCTGAAATAATAAAATGTCCATAAAATGGGGTCAATTGAACGCACTTGTAAAATATTCCAAAAACTTTCCTCTTGCTCTAACGATCAATAAGCAACCATAAAGTTAACGTGAATTGCGGCCTGCCTTTTTAAACTATTTTTTCTCATAATTTTATCACGTTAATTTTATTTCTATTTATTTTATCAAATAAATAGATTATCAAATTTTTAAAAAAATTTTTTAGAATATTTTATAAATATGCTCAATCGAGATCACAAATGTCATTTTATAAACATAACATTTATTTCGATGTATTCAGTAAAAAGTTTGGGTATTTTAGGGTTTTTTCTTCTGACGTCATTAATCAAGATGATCGCGTCGAAAACACAGGAGTTTTAACGTACTACTTACTTGAACGATTGTTTATCGCACCGAAGTGATGGCCGTAATATAGTATGGTAGTCAAAAGACTAACCATGTAAATACTATTGTATATCAGTACTTTTTATTTTAAACAAAATAATTGAGAGTGCAATTGAATCAAATGTATACCTCATTGTCGGTAATGGAAATTATATTTTGAAAATGAAATAACAAAACTAATTATATCTCGACACAACGGGAAAACACGAGAACTGGCGGGTTCATATTGCGCATTCGGCGCATTCAATTCCTAATAAATATATATTACCTGAAACTCTAAAGTAAATCTTAATTCAAATGACGATCCATGATCCATATGTATTCCGACATTAATATTCGTAATCTGTGTTTGCGGAGCACCGTGATATCTGAAAGATGGTGTTGCGGAACATTCTTATGTGACGCATACTTTAATAACATAGGCTACTCTTCATCGAAACTTTGATACACGCTATACTTCCTTACCTTTATATGCAACGTCGTTCACGATTAAAGATTTACAACAAGCCTTACATCTTATCTTCGAGACCTCGTTTTACGAAGTTTTACTTCCGAAGTTTGAATTCCGACGAAGTTGGTCCACGCGTTATCATCATTCATTGAGCGAGAATTGATCTGTCGATTTAATTCGTCATTAAAATCATGAAATTAATACAGTTAGTGAATTAATGCAGTTAATACATTAATCTTGAAATCAAATAGAAATCACGAAAACAATTACGAAATCAAGTAGGATAAAAAACATCTCCCTTAGTCAAAATTATCTCCCTTAGTCATTAGTACTCTAGAAAAATATTTTTTAACTGATTTTCAAAAAAAGGGTTTTACAGTTTGACCTATATGTATGTTTGTTTCTTTGTTTATATGTTCCCTTATAACTTGTTACAATTGCTTTTGTTTGAGATATTGAATAAAAATTTTTGTAACTTATGGGATACAAAACGAAACTTTTATTTTTAACTATTTTGAAAAAACTTGTTTAACAAAAATAAAACGTCTTCTAAAACCTCAAAAGCCCTAAAAAATATAAAATAATTTTGACTCAATGATCGTGTATATCCATAATTCTAATCTAATATTCTGATGATATTAAAAATTGCTGGAAAAAATTAGATAGGTAACTAAATATATATAACTGTGAAGGGATAAATAATAAAAAAAAAGTATAATTATTGACTCTCTTAATCAATCACATTTTCGCGCTAACTTCTAATATCGTTAGAATATTAAGATAGAGTTATAAGTACATAGAAATACTAAGCCAAATTATTTCATCCTTTTTAGACTTTCCAGATTTTTTAAGACGGTTATTTTTTCATGCAGCCAACATTGCAGCTAAGCTTCTTGTCTATTCTCTATGATTCCAAAAGAGATATTTACAATTAAAACTGTAAATAGATCGCATAGATCGCATAAAAAATCAAATTTTTCTAGTACCAATCAATTATAAAGTAAGAATAATCATTTTTTATAATACAATTTCTATATTTATCACGACGCGAATTTTTATTGCTTATTTACCAAGAACTTTCGTCAAAATTTCGTAAATCGAGGACTCCATGTATATATTCAATGTTTAAATTGATATAAAATATAACGCATATTTTCAAGATATCTTTAAGACATTTCTTAAGACGCCTTATTTTTAAGATGTCTTTGAGACGTCTTAAAAACATCTTACTTGAGATATCTTAAAGATATCTTACTTCTGACGTCTTAAGCCAGTGGCACACGGTGTTTTTTTTTCGTACTGGATTGCTTGCTGAATGGAAATATTCCATTTTGATTAGTGCATTTCCATCCATCCTCAGAAATTCACCAATCAGAACAGAGTATTTCCATCCAGCAAAGAAACCAGCATGAAAACAAGCATCGTGTGCCGCTGGCTTTAAAAAAGCATACATTTCGAATGCTTTGATACTTTTATACACAAAATGATTGCAACAATAAAATAGCAGATGATATTCGTAAATAACGTTGCATATGCGTTATGTAACTGTTAGGTCGATATTTCATGCGTATGATAATATTGTCGGACGTATCGATTGACTGACGAATAGAGCTTTCTAAAGCCTTGTGTGCCACGATGCTAAAAATCGTTCAGATATCTAGATTCGAAAAATGTATAAGCAATCAATTTGCAGCTTTTATGAAAAAGCGGCAATTTTATTGGCTATAATACGTATCGTCACAGTTTAACAAGTTACGACAGTAATCAGAAATGTAGAAATAAATTTTCAGTGTGTATGTGTAAACAGCGCAGCCAACAATATGGCAGCGCAACTTTCTGTGATGCGATTACATTTAAATAAACAAACAAAATTTAATAGAGAAAGACCAAGATAGTGAAAAATAGTGTAAGATAATGAACTTGTTTGTTGTTTACTTGTTTATAAAGGAATAAAATATTAAATAAACATGGGCGATGGTATACATGGATATACAGGGTGTCTAATTTATACCATATTATATACAAACGTTTTATATGCTGTCGTATGGGCATGAGAGGCTAGCCAGCCTCCTAGCAACGTGTTTTCCTCGTTGGAGGCTAACTCGGCTAGCCTATCATATCTATACTACAGTATGTACAGCGTTTGTCTCATGGACATAGTATATATGGACTCCGAATGCCCTATGTTCTGTCGTCTAATAGAATGAAGCCAACATTTAGAAAGAGAGCGAGAATAGAGGGGTTATAGTTTTCTTCCTATTTTGTCACTTTTTTGTCCGACGTGCATCCATTTCTCGTTTCCATAATATTATAGAACGTAACAGCACCCCGACTAGACTGGCAAGTAAACGTCTTACTTAAATCTTATTGCACACTTTGTCTATGCAGAAAGAGACAGAGAACAGAAGGGCTGTACATATTGGCTTCTCTTTTCTGACTGTATGCGGAGTATATGTATATTATGTCTATGGTCTTTTTCTACATGTTGGGTTCACTTTTGCCGTATGCGGGGTCCATGTATACTACGTCCATGGTTTGTCTCACCGTAGCACGCGTGCTGATTGGCTAATGGACTACCGCTCGGTAGAAGTTTTTTATCGTTAATATCTCAAAATTTTACGTGGTTGTTTAAAAAAAAGACACCGATTCCATTACTCACCCCGACCTATTCCAGCTATATATTAGCTCTGGTACGGTACGAATCAGACACCCTATATATATGCTGTTTTAACGTGCAATAATATTACAGTTTTCACAAAAGAAGTTTCTTTGGTTTCCTGAAAGATCCTCATAAGTAAGGAAATTTATTATTTGTGTAATTGTATAATTTTTAACAAATAAATAAAAACTGTATATATAAACATTTATTCATATAGGTCTTTGCTCTTGCCCATACAATACAGTGCTATATTTGACACATTGGACACATTAGACACATTGGATAAATTATAAAATATAGTCTAAATTTTTTATATAAATTTTGTTTATTACATTCAGCAAAGTCCTTAATATGTGTAATAATAACGTCTAAAATATTTATTTGTTCAATAATATAAATTTTAATATAAATTTTTTTTCCTTCATCCAAATACACGATTAAACAAGGAACGCCTTATTGCGCATATATCTGTCCTTCTGTGTTTCCTTCACTCCTCTGCACAGACCGCGCAGTTTAGTATATATGTCTATGAGCGGGGTCTACAATAGAAGTCATAAAGTTGTAAGTCATAGAAATTGACCAATCGCGATCGAGTATGAAAAGAATAATCGACAGCGGGTGGTCAATTTCTACGACTTATGACTCTACGATTTCTATTGTAGATCCCACTTTACTATTCGAATGACTCGTAGGATGCGCGCGGAGTAACAAGACACGGGGAATAAATCGAAGTCTCTCGAAAATCGATCGAAAAGTGCATCGCTTGTCAAGTTCTATTTTAAGATGTTATATTATATTAATTATATATATATATATATATATATATATATATATATATATATATATTCATTCATATTCAAGATATCTTCAAGATATCTCAATCATATCATGAAAATGTCTTAAAAGATATCTTTAAGATATCTTTTAGATATCTAAAAGAAATCTTTTAAATCGTCTTAAAGTGTCACATAAGGTGTTTTTCACATTTCTAGACATTTTCAAGACATCTCCAGATATCTTAAAGATATATAAACATGTCTTAAGATGTCTTTTAAATTCCTAAAAGATATCTTTTCGTAAAAAATGCAAAATACTTTTCTATCTTTTAGAAGCCTAAAAGATATCTTTTTGTCTATTTAGATATTTTACCAATGTTTTATATTTACAGCGCTTCAAAACATGTTTTGAACATTTTTCGAATTATTGTATACGTTTGTAATCCCACACAGCAGAGGTGTCCAAAATATATCATAAGGATATCCTAAAGATATATTTGGGATATGTGATATCTTCAAGATATCCTTATGATATATTTAGGACATTCCTGCTGTGTGGGATGTAACTGTGTGCGTAATTTTATTGCATTATGTGTATAATCTCACTTCCTTACCTTGGCGTTTATGAGAATAAATGTGTATTTATGTGTATTTATTATTAAATATATTGCATTAATAAAACTACCTCAATTCCACAATCTCGTATTTCCCAGTAAGAATGTTCAAAATACGTCCTGGAGACGTCCCAGAGTGATATCTCTATGTGATATCTCTGGGACGTTTTTGGAATATACTTTGGACACTTGTGCTGTATAGGTTAGTACCGCAAAGATCCGCACGAAGCAGCATCTCACCAATCAACTCGCAAATAATTTGTAACAATGAAGATAAGATAAGGACTGAGGCTCGAACGATTATCGAATGAGAAAAGCGTGTGTCGAAGAAATACAACGCGCGAAAAAGCATGAAAACGAAATTTCTTGTGTAATTTTGCGATTCGCGACGAGGACGAGGACGCATTGTTACGGAAGGCATACTACTCTAATGTTTGAGATGTTCGTGTTTTATAGAAGCGACGCGATTATTGAGGCCCGTTGTTTCTTAAATAATAATTTCGATCGCTCGTATTTGTCGTGCCACTCTGCGCGTTTCAACGATAAAAATAACGATTGTTTATATTATGTCTGTGCACATACTACACAATAAAAGGTTTAAACGATGTTCATTCCCGGCCATTTTGAATCGGGGGCCACGCTCCGAATCGAATGTCACTTCGATGTAGCTCTTTCAAAATATAAACAAGCATAAAATTAAAAATGAGAATTTAGAGCCAAAAGAGAATGTCAGATTACAATATTTCCAGATTTTCAAAATTAATGTACCGTAATCGACATATCGATATCATTCTAGATATCGATTCCAAAAAAACAATTTGGTATTAAATTTAACACATTTCACATGTCCCAAATTGGTCGAACTAATTTTTATGTTAATTTAACACAAGATAAATGTGTTAACAAATATTTATCTACACTTACACTTTAAAATATATAAAATATGTCATCAAAAATGTTATATATAAATTGTGTTATTTTAACACTCAGAAATTATTTATATGAGCACAATGTAAAACAGTCAAAATAACACATCTATATAATATTAAATTAACGCACTGATGTGTTAAAAATTTAATACAAAGATTTCTACATGGATCGATTTCAACACAAATGCAAAACATTTTTGTCTTTCCGCGATGTAAAAGGAGTCGATCGCATAAATTTTTTGTTCTAATGTGAATTTGTGAAAAATGAATATTTCCTAATATTTACAAATTGAAAAATTTCCACTTTTCATATTAGAAAAAAATTCATAATCAACTCTTAGAAATGCTCGGTTTGGCTTTTAAGTTGTCTTTTGTGAATTTGTTTTTTCAATGACTGCGTTCCAGGCGATCGATTATGTATTAACACAATGTGGTGAAAATTGTAAAAGTAAACAAATTCACTAGGTGTTGACCAATGAAATCGTTGACCAATGAGATCTTCTAGTAAATTCGTATATTTTTGTAATTTTTTGTAATTCGTACATTTTTGTAATTTTCACCAAATTATTAGTCTGTCATTTTCAGCTGCACTGCTGAACAATAAGTTAAAATGATACAAGTATATTTTTTCTCACTCTAACTTATTGCACCAGTTCAGCAGTGCAGCTGAAAAGAACAGACCATATGTTAATACGCAATCGGTCGCAAAACAACTTACAAACATAACAGTTGTACAACACAACAGTTGTTGAGTAAAAATTATTTAATCTATACTTTTAAATCTATCAATAAAATAGCCCTCTTCCAAAAATCGATTCCTCAACAGTAATGTTGTCGAAATATTTTATGAACATTTTACTTCATTAGAAAGGGGAGTGACCTGAATAGTTCCATGCGATCGATATGATTTGAACAAAATATGAAATGTTCTCACTAATATTGTTGGAGATAAATATCCTTGAAATATCGCTCCGATATTGCCGCAAAAAATATCAGACTAGGAAAGAATACCAACCAGCGTATATGAAAATTACAGCAGTGTCGTTACAGAGATTCATACATTACAGAGATTCATACATTACAGAGATTCATACATTACAGAGATTCGCAGAGAAATTCTCCAGTATTCTCGAAGTGCTCGGGGTAAGATCCCTTATAGCATTGTTGTCTGAAGCGCGTTGGATGCTTCGAAAGCGGCTAACGATATTCCAGGCTCTGTGATAGGCTGGACCGAGCTCATGACGTCATCAGTCGCTCCCGGAGCAATTTGAAGCCGCTTTACTCGAAAACGGATGAACGCTCCAAAAAAGCATCCCTGCTACTTAACATCGTTAATTCCATGTATGAAAGAATCACCTCGAAGCCAACAATCCAGGTAGAACATAAAATCATATAAAAGTCAAAATGACGTCAAATGATATAAAAGTGATGTCATTTTGACGTCAAACAATATCATTTTCATGACAATTTCATGATAATGATGTCAAAATGATATAATCTTGACATGAAAATGATTTTTTATTCTACCTGGGTAAATAGACGCACCCTTGGCGACCGTTTGTTACGGCCCTGCGCGCTCATGGTGCCGTCGAGGTGGCGCGCTTGAGCCGCGTAGTAGTCCAGCAAGTGTTTCCCCAAACATGGCGGACGGTGTTAGTTCGAATTTCCATGGGACGCAATGAACGTGCGCCAAATTCGCCGCGGTGATGCCGATTGCTGAGGACGTGTGGTGATCGTGCGGCCGGCCTACTACGAGGCTGCTCGGGACGGTGCTCGTGATCGGCGCGACATCGCGCGTGGTCGACGTGCCGCCGTGCGGAGCCCGCGAAGTCAGGCTTTTGCCGCCGCCACCGCCACCACTACCACTACTACCACCGCTGTCGTCGCCGTCGCCGTCGTCGTCGTCGCGAGTGCGCCGAGTGGAGTGAGCTGACCGTGGCGGGGCCCCCATGGTTGTGTGTAAATGGCTGACCGAGAAGTCGGAAAATGAGGCCCGCACGTAACAGCAACGCGTGATCACCACGGCCGGAGACGCTGAGGTATGACGAACTGAGATCGGCGGATCGAGGCTCGCCGTGCCGGCGCTGAGAGTTTATTTACACGCGACGCCGAGTGCGCGCTGAGGCACCGTTGCGTCCGGTAACATCGGCACCGTGTTCACGAGCACCGCCCCAGTGCCAGGACCCATCGGTCTCGGGGGTTGCTTCCTTCTTTCTTTTTTTTCTTTTCTCTCTCTTCCTCTCTTTCTCCCTCTCTCTCTCTTTGTCTCTCTCACACACACACACACTCTCTCTCTCTCTTTCTCTCTCTCCCTCGCTGTCGCTTTTTCTTCACGCGTCCATTCCTCCTCGCCATGTCCGCGCCGTCCTCGTTGCCGATTGATCGGGCCCAGCGACGAGAAACTGTGTTCTGCGGGGACGAGTCTGTTGTGACAGTCGGCGGCTCCCGGGCAGGGTGTTGCGCCAACGGCACGACCTGCCCGTGAGTTGTTTGGCGCCGTGCGATCAACTCAGGGCGGCATCGCGGCGCTCTCACTCCTTCGGCGGCGAGAGTAAATGCGCCGGACTGTTTTTTAATGAGATGCCAATCATATGGTCGCAATCGCGTATCCCCCGAGCTAACCCACGCGACCGCGTTCTTGTACGCACCGTGCGAATTGTGTAACGTACCCGTCGTGGCAGGTGGCGGTGACCGTTCGCGATTTATCTCGCGCTTGTCGCGGTGACAATAACTCATTCCGGAAGCTTTCCGACCGTGTGATGGTGTAATGCTCCCGAAGATATCATACATCCCCACTGGTTCACTCCGAGATAGTTCCCAGATCGTGTTTTTGTCCAGGTACTCGCGAAAGCATTATGTTTATAAGATTACCAAAGAAATTATCTCTTTAATCAAACTAGTGCTGCACTGGAATTTCTGTTCCTTCTTCCTTCAATGCTATACATTTATTTCACTCTGAAGGCAAAAATGCAATCTAATTTAGCTAAAAGGATAGATCTATTATCGTTAGATGTGTGAGTTAACATACAATGATCAGAAAGCTCTGAGATATCAAGATGTATTAACCTATAATCTACAAAAAGATTTGAAGATATTTCTTAAGAAGGAAACTATTTACAGGGGATATATTTGGAAATAATGTTAATCTGTTTGTTAGATTACTTATATTTGTGGAAAATTTTTTTCTTAATGGTAATTTGCTTGAGGAAATGTTCATCATAAATTCCTTCTTATGTTATTAGCAAGATAGACATTTATTGTTTATTCTCTAATCATCAATTTAGAAACAGGGTAGAAAATGTCAGAACCAGAGGAAAGCTTGGCAGCCCCGGATAGCACCACGAGGGAACAGCGGGTTGGTTTCTCCCATGGAGATGACGTCCTTCAACACAAAGATGGCAAATACTACCTTGGCACAGTTGTGGAGGTATGAGCAGCAAAATAGTTTTGCTTATTAACTTTAATTGGACTTACAATTAAATTTATAACAATGATTTATTTTGCCATAGGTGGATATGGCGAGGGAAAGATGTCTTGTCAAATTTATGGACAATACGTCTTCCTGGTCCTCGTTTAAAGAGCTGACAAAGTTGGCTATGCCAGACTCGGATGTTATGTGTGTTCTTTGCAAAAAATCTCAGCCTAAGAATGACGATGACATTATAGTTTGTGACAAATGTGGCCGTGGCTATCATCAAAAGTGTCATGAGGTATATGCACATTAAATTTGATGTTGCAAGAAACTTGCTGGTTTTAGCAAAGCTAATACTGCACTGGAACTTGATTTCTTTTCACTTCAACATTAGATTGTATATTTCACTTTAAAGGCAAAAAGTGCAATCTAACTCAACTAAAAAGAACAAACCTAAAATTTTTAATAACTGGGTTATTACAAAATAAACTCTGATATAGAACTATAAAATGTAGATAAATAATAATATAAAGAATATAAAAACAGAAACTTGAACATTTGCAGCCTCAAATAATGAAACAAGATGGAGGCACAGATGCTCAATGGATGTGTAAAAGATGTACAGATAGCCAACCACGGGTGCGTGAACAATGTGAACCAAAAACTTCTATGGTTAAAGCAAATATCAGAAAAGTTTGCAGCGGTAGGGACCAACCTGAACCACCACCGGATGACATGACAAAGCTGCCGTATGATGTAAGAAAGGTTTAGTTATAAATTGTATACTACTGATTAGGCACACAATTATTATTATATGGTATTTCTGGTTTCTTATATGTATATACATATATTTATATGTATATATATGTATCTATATGTATATTATGTATCTATATGTATATGTGTGTGTGTGTGTGTACACACACATACATGTATATACATATAGATACATATATATACATATAGATATATGTATATACATATATATACACATACATATATTCTATTTCTCATACATAATAGAAAATGCTGAAAATTTTATAAAATTATTTTGATTATATTTAATTTTAGCCTAATATGTTAAATTGGGATGCACATCACAGAGTAAACGCTGAACAAATTTATTGTTATTGTGGTCTTAATGGTGAATGGTATGCACAGATGTTACAATGTGCTCGTTGCAAGCAATGGTTTCATGAAAAATGTCTCAGATGCTTGACTCAGCCCTTATACAGTGGTGATAGGTAAGTGTAATTGAAGAAGTGGTGGTATAAAATACAATATTTTTGTATATTGTTATATAAATTATTCTTCCTCTTATACCCTTAGATGATTAGATTATTAATTATAGGCTGCTTTTTACAGATTCTATGTATTTGTTTGTTCAATGTGCAATAACGGGAAAGAATTTGTTCGGCGTTTGGAAATGAAATGGGTAGATCTGGTGCACCTGATGTTGTACAATCTGACTGTTTATAATGCTAAAAAGTATTACGACTTGGACACCGTTATTGTACCTTACGCAAATGATAATTGGCTCACCTTACAACTCCCACAACGGGTGAGAGATTTCTACTAAAATACAATCTCTAAATTGATATGTTTTAATACATATGTTACATTAGTCGTTGCGATCAGTGATGATCAGTTACCACAATATTATATATTTTTTTAGATTAGAGATGTTACTGGTCAAATACGCAGAGAATCTATATTGGCAATATTGACAAACAACAGAAGCAGGTTCAAGTGTGGTAGAGAGATAAAGAAACGTACTACAATATGGGGTCTGCGTGTCAGACTACCACCACCTTGTCCAGTCGTCAGTCTTCCAGAAACTGGCGATATAGATGATAGTGTATTACGCAGTTGTTGGGGTGCTAATAAAAGACTGCAATATCTTCCTCCACAAATAGGGTTAGTATAAAATATTAAATATAAATTATAAAGAGAGAATATATAGTGTTAAATATATAGTATATTAATTATATTCTACATTATATATATAGAATATAAAATTTACTATAAATGTGTAGTGCATTGTATAGAGTGATTCTATTGGATTGTTACAAATGAAATGGCCATTTTTTAATTTAAGTTTTTAATTTATAAACGTAAAACATATTTTATCAATCAAAGTAGTTTCCATCGGCTTCAATGCAACGCTTCTCACAACGCGATACGGGTGCATTAATGCATTTCTCATAGAAATTGAGAAAACGAGAAGCAGTAAAGTATATTTTTTACATCGACTTTATTTTTTAACACTTTTTCCTTTGAAAATTTGTTGAGATACTTACATAAGTGATAACCTGTTGGTGAAAGGTTAGGAGAGTACTGAAAATGAGGGAGAACTTCACGCTTCAATTCTGCAAGTTTTTTCACAGTTTGTGTCTCTTGGTGAGTTTATGTAAGACCCGTTTGTCCAGCTTCTTTACCTTTCCCGAGGCTTTTAGATGTTGGGAAAATTGTGAGTACTAAATTTTTTATTTTCTCGACAATTTCTCAAACTGTCAGACGTAAATTTGTATCGACAATGTTTTTCAAAATCATGTTCATCATCAATTACTGATAGCATATAGCTACGAGGAAAATTTTCAAGGTCTATATCATCAAACCTGAACTCAAATCATCGTCTAGTGTGTGCTCCGATTACTCCATGTATTATTTCCAAATGCCATATTGATGTTTTACGTTGCCTCCGTCGCATTATGATCGAGTCCGAACTCGATCGAGTAGTATAATTATACAAATTACCTTATTACCATTAAAAGTGAGTAAAACCACGTATACCGTACAAGTGATGTTATGCACATGCATTAACGTGGGAAGCATATACTTTCCAAATAGTACACATACATTACTATCTGCATGGCAAAAAGTTAAACTACTAAAGTCGCAAAATTCACATTACTAAAAACGGCCATTTCATTTGTAACAATCTAATAATAATTAAGCTAGACTATATGTGTGTATGTTGTGTCTATATGTGCATGTGTGTATAAAAACAAACAAAAATGATAAAAAAAAAAATTTACATAATTATTTTCCTTAGAACACTTATTTTGTAGGTATTGATACACTTTCATAGTGTAATTATTATGTGCAACCTTTTATATTAATGGAATTATATGATTATTTTTTATAAATAGTCTTCTCAACTCATTTTGTATATAAAAAGTATAAATAAGATAATAAAAAATGAATATTTTCAAAGATATTTTATCCAGGTAGCTTTCAATATAAGTTATGAAATATTTTGTATTCACTTTTCAATAATCTTATACTTTCCATGTACAAAATGACCTGAAAAATCCATTTACACAAAAACAATTCTATATCATTTGAGAAAATTGTTATAATTACACTTTCCGTGTCAATATACCTAAGGAAAAAATTGTGTCATAATGTAGGGAAATAGAAGTCATCAAACCATGTAAAGTTTTCATCTACCATTTTATTTTCACTAATAATAGAGATACAATTCGACTCAATTATTAAAACCATCCTATCTAGAGTATAGTATATTAAATAATTTTATAGCTAGGCTGCATTCCGAAATTCACTGCCAGTACTGAAAATCCATAGTTCATATTATACATATTATAGAATTTCAGCACTGACAGTTAATTTCGCAACACAGCCATAGTATATTATATAAGATAGCTCAAAAGTCTGTAATTAATTTGACGAATTTACTATTTTTATCATAGGTAATATATTTAAAATTCTTTATGCAAAAAAAAATTTTACTGGAACCCTAGGAAATTTGAAATGGTAACCGACTTGTGAGCTATTCTGTGTACATATATCATATATTAAATATATATCAAGTTAGTATAAAATATATTAATCACATATGCCATAGAGATACATACCGGAACTAAATAAAGATTTATACATATTTGTGGCACGTAATATGTAAAATATGACTGTTTCAGATTGCCAAAAAGTACAAAATCGAACACATTGGAAATGGCTGAGAATGTAGAAATTGCTGTGAATCCTTCAGACCTAATAATGCGAGGGACAATTTATCAGAATTCAGAAGGAGAGCAAAGTTCGGGTCAAAGTGCAAGTCCGAACAATCAATCTACACAATCCTTAAGAGAGAGGTACTTTTATATTTATTTATCGTATATTGCATGAAACTATTCAGTGTCTATGCACTGTTAAGTCATTTTCTGGCGACGATTCTGTTATAGGTATAGTGGTGGCGGTTTTGTAAAAAAATCATTCCCATTCCCTAAGTTGAGTCTACAAAGAAGACGTCGTTTAATGGCATTAGGTAGTACAAGAGAAAGAATGTTACGTAAACATAAAAAGAGGGAGAAAGACAAAGATGCTGCCATGGGAAAATCGCAAGGAGTTCGGGAAGCAAGATATAGGAAAGCAAGGAAATTACTGAAGAACGCCATTGCCAAGGTAGAGACAAAGTGCTGATATTTGACAATTTACTCGGAGGCGTGTTGATAAACTTTCTATCGGCGACACCGGTAGGTAAAGTGTTAAGGTAGTTGTATCATTAAGTGCCGTATTTTCAGTGGCGCATCAAATAGGCCACTCATACAATTTACTATTTATTCGACAAAATTGTTTCTTTATAGAGATATATATTTTACTATCTATAAATAATAAATAATTAATTTGAAACAAAATTGAGATAATGTGTATGTACATATATATACACACACATGTTATAAATAAAAAAAACTTTTAGTACTTTATTGATGCATCAATTAATCTAATAGAGATGCATAGATAATAAAAAGAGGTATATAAGTAATAAAAATGCGTATATGTATATGTATTTTGAGAATTACTATAAATAATGGATTTTTCAGGACTGTAATCCTGTTTATTTTCAAAATAAAAATGATCAATAATTCTGAAATTGTTGTGTAATATCTATATACTAGTCTTTAATATCATATTAGTTTGTCATCAAAGTCTCATTAGTAGTTTAGAAGATATTAAACATAGAAATTAAAAATAGCACACTAACCTCAAGGAACATATGAAAAGTGTCAACTTCAGTTGCAAATATCTCAGCTCTTGAACAATCAATCTCTTTCTAATTGCACTAACAATTAGATAATACTTCAATGTGTGTATAGGATAAGATTCATCGGATTCTCACTCATTTCAAACTCACTTCATGATACAACTATCTTAAGTGTAAAATGTAAGTAGTATCTCATTCAGGCTGCATTTTCTTTGGGCGTTTACATGCTTTAAGCACTTATAAGTTTCATTCATGCTTTAGCATTGTAAGCGCTCAGATCAAATAACAACATTATCATACCATTATAACTGTTGCTCACTAATGTGTGTTTCATTAAGATAAGGTAGTAAAAGCCAAAGTGGATGCAGCTTTAGTACATGGGCTTCTCCGCGTAATTTTGCGATAGCTTCGAATTTTTAATGAAAGTTTTCTTAAGAAATACATAAATATTTTCTATATTTTTATCATGTAGATCTCAATCTCTTATTATTATTCTCATCACATCAAACAATTCTAACAACATAGGTATTCATAAATAGCATGCGAATCACCTGCCATCTTGTTTGTAATCGTTTACAATTATTAAAAAGCAATCGAAATCGACTCTCACGAGCTCGAACGCTCAAAGCCGAACGCACCCTCAGATTGCTTTCTTTTCTTTAATACAGAGCAAGTCGCGAAGTTCAGAAGCATCCGATTTACCTCCGACACCTCCAACTTCCGTTTCCGGGCCACCGACGCCACCAGCAACAACATCAGGTATGTTAGAGCTGTCCGTGCCTAGCTCCGTGGATTTAATACATCCTATGCCACCCTCGACACCTGCCGACACAAGCGGAGACGAGACCAGTTCAAGAGGAACTCTCGACTCCTTTATTCCACCGCCCAAAGATTTTGAAGGAAAAAATAATCCGTTCAGAAATCTTAGTGATATAGTGGGCACGCCGGTGGGTAGTCTTAATCAACCGAATTCGAGTACGCCGTTAACTTACAATCCGTGTCCCATTACCTTGCCTCTACCACTGACGCCTGTGATCCCGCAACCGCCTGTGGTAGCCAAAAGGCAGCTATCGGAGAAGGATATAATCGTCGACAGGAATGGTCAAGTGAAACGCAGAAGACAGCATCGACGAGGACGTCCATCTCAACAGCAGATGCAGCAGCAATTCCAACAAACCGCCAGTAAGACGGCAACTATTCTGCCAGCTCGTAATAATGAAGTTAAAAGTGAATTCGCCAGGAATTTAAGAAGTTCATTTAATGGTGCCTCGGCAAGTGCGAATAGTCAAATTGGAAACTGTGTCGATTATGCCTTAAACGGTAGGAGGTTGAGACAGCGGAATAACGAAAAATTACCTCCTCCCGAGCCGCAGCCGCAACGGAAGGGCAACATGTCATCATCGCCAAAGTGTTCGCCAGTGAAGCAAAGTGCGCCTGACATATCTCTGGATGAGCTGAAGTCGTCAGTGAATATTTACTTCGGCGCGGCTAATAGAATAGCCGCTGGTGAAAAGTTCGTCATCAAAGCGAAGAGGATAAGGCCGGACGGTCAGATACAATACCTCATCGAATGGGAGGGACTCAATACTTAACGGTAAATAAATAATCAGCTTACGACGAAATGTATTGCAATCGTATACAAAGTTTAAGTTGACATCAAGCTAAGTAAGGCAACGATTAGCTGCCCGAACTCTTGTAATTAATTCTCTGTGTTTTACAGCGAAAAAAAATTGTGACCTTTTGTTTTGCGTCACATATGCACTGCCACTTGTTAAGTACATTTTATAACAAAAAAAATGTGACGCATTTATCAGTGTAGAATATGCGAATGTTCTTGTAAATGTAAAGCTATATTTCGTTGATCCATTAACGTAATTCTTGTTATACTCTGTTTTTATGGCGATCGATGAGTTTCATTGCCAATTGATGAATTTGCGTCGTCACTGGTTTCAAGTGAAATTCCTTCGATCATCCGTCAAATAGTGCGTTATATCATCTCGTGATATCAGTCCATTCGAAAAGAAACTGTGAAATGGCACTATGAAAAGGTATACCGTCCGTGTTGATTCTCCAACACGTATATCTTGCTCTCGTGTATGCATTCATTTGAAAGTGAGTGAATGGAAATGCTCGTTTAAGAAACGTTTACAAGAACAATCTGGTTTATTGCTTATTGATTGTAAATAGTGTAGCATAGTAGACTTGCGGAAAGAATCAATGAATGTAAGCTGCGTGAAAGGGAAATTTCGCGAGCTTTACATCCATCACCCAATGGAAAAATTGGCCAATTTTCCCTCAATATTGGGAATAAGTCTTGAGTATGACGATAAAGGAGAAAGTGGATTGAAACAGACAGTTGTTCCTCTCACTTGAGCTAACGTATTAGCGAATGTTGACGATTGATAGTAAAAAAGTAAAAAACAAAGCAGACATCCTGCGCAAAGGATTATTTTTCAATACACTCGTAGAGGTAGTCTCCGGCTACTGTAACTTCATTGTCTTGTACTACATTTTTACTTGCATTTTCGTCGACGACAATACGACACGAATCAAAATTCCATCTCAAGAGATGAATTTAATATCTATTGCTGTGCAATTATTTTACGTTCATGCTCATTCGGTAAAATAACATTGCACACGTTAAAAATATATAGTGTTGTGCAACTTTATATCAATATTTTATATATATTATAATTATATTATAAATATATTTCTCACACAGACCACAGACTTTTTAAAGCGGTGTATCTGAGACGATGAAGATGCAGACCTAGCATTGCTCATTATTATACAAGACTAAGAAAAAAAACGATATACCTATTTCGTACCGTATGAAATTGAAAAATGAATCGTTCGTTGAATATGTAAGTAATTGGCCAAGTTATCTGTGCAAAAACGATATTATGAAATTACGACTAGAACAGTTTCATCGAGTATACCAATACGTGAGCTCATTGTCGTGTTGTAGTGGCACGTTGTAAAGACGATCTTCGTGCACTGAACAGCTAGAACATTAAAAAAAAGAAGAGGAAAAAATAAACAACTGCAATTGTACATACATAGAATTTGTATTCGAGAGAAGCAGTCACGTAGCACACAGTCTAGACATGGTAGTAGTCGATAAATGTAACAGTGTCACAAATTCTCTTACGCGATAATTTTTGATACAGATTATTTTATACAACTCTGGATCCTGCTGGGATTATTGTGTATAAGACGCATTTTTGTACCTCAGACTGCACAGAATCTATGGTCATAACTTACTAATCAGAAAATATCGGAAGCAACTATATAAGCGTTACGATGTGTAGACATTTTTGCAGTAGCCGTCGTTAGAATATCAAATCAAAAGGAGCTTATTAGAAGGAATTAATCAACAACACGGTTTCCGTCTACGACGAATTATTCGACATTCACTTTTGCGCTTGAGATTCTTTTTTGTATTTTACGAGTACACAAGCTCACCTCATTGCGACGCATTGTTAACGGGAAACTAGCATGACATACAGATTCGTGTTTCTTACTTGTTTGTTACGCAAAAATTTGCATGCAATACAAATCTTTTGCCTATGATCTTGTAACTAATATAACTATTTTTTTAGAGTGCTTTAATACACCTATTTCTCGTCAAATTATTTGAGTTCACTGGATAAAATGGAGTTACTAATTAAATTATGCTATCTTAGGTAGAATTTCGTGCGAGTTTCCCAGTTTATTAAAATGACGAATCTAGATGATGATCTATCATGCTTGGCTCGACTTATTTATAAAATAAGTACTCATTACCACTATTTATTTAAATTTCCAAATGCAATGGCATGTTTGCATTTTTTATTTCATAGAAGAGGCTCAAGGCAATCTGAGGCCACTGTGGTATGAGACGATAAGTTCTTTTACTTGTTCTTTTTTTCTTTTTACTATACTTTTAGCAAAACATTACTAAGAAATGTCAACCAAAACTTCGCGAATCTTCCTTTCACCGTAAGAGGTCTTTTTAGTGAATAGTTTTGATAAAATTTATACTATACTAAGTTTTGTAATTCTTTCTTTCGACTGTGAGAAATGTTTATGTTTTGTATGAGTATTTCTTGTATCGTTCATAATGTATTCATTTTCGACGTTGTTTAACACTTTGACTACCACGATATATTCGAGTGTCAGTTCCAACCAAGCCCAAATTTTCCGGCCATCGTGTGCAACGCTATATAGTGTGTGTACAGAGTTAGATTACTTAAAGAAACCAATGGAAAAATAATTGATGTAATTCAATTGGTTAAAATACGCCAACACGACGTTACATCGAGGTTTGCATCGAGGGCCGGTGATTAGCTTGTCGTCACTAAGAAACAATGTCTTGACACTGTAAAAATACAAATGTCATTAATTTATTATTTCATACTTTATATTAATGTAGATACAGCAAATTGTATGAAACAACAGCTTTACCATATAATTTATCGATAAATTGTTGCATAACATTTGTTGATCATTGATCAATTATTGATCAGCTGTGACGAAGCGATATGAAATGAATGATATGAAAGATGTTCCTGGTATCGTTTCGTCCTTAAGCACTTACCACAGACAAAATTAACGCATAATGATTATATTATCGATGAGTCGTATGTTAATAATGATTAAAATTATATTGTATTATTTGAATCACTTTCAAGTAATATAATTGGTATACCAAAAATGATAAAAAGCAATAAATAAATGAGATAAATTGATTCTAAGTAAATAAAATCGTCACTTAAATATTGGTTAACGTGACAGTCAAAGTGCTAAAGATTTTTTACTTTATGTAAATTAATAATCGCGCTTTCACACATAGTTCTAGCAGATTTTAGGAAAATCTTTGATCCATACCACAGCACATTTTATAAATATCTCTTTCTCTATGAACGTAGATAATATTTGACGAGAACAAGAAATAGACACTGCCAAATTTCTAAGTTATATTTAATAAAAAAAAGAAAAAACGCGTTAGATAATGCTGCGCTATTATATAGTAATGTTTAATTAAATGAAATTTTTTCAATTCGCACTTATCGTCGCTTGTCAGATTCCATACTTCCATACGTGGCGAATGCCAAGTGGAAGACTCGAGTACAAGATTTGGTGGAGACTCGTTATTGATTTGCGACGAAATTTCGCAACGAACCATTTCATACGTGCATGCATACGCATCCAGCAAGTTTCTATAAAAATGAAGTATAATATAAACTCACGATACTCTAAATTTTCCAAAGTGAAATTTTATTGAAAAAATGTAGTGACTGTCGAGCCACTCGAATTCAGATGATTTTTCACTCGTATAGAGGGTGAATCGTCAGCTGAATATTTTTATCCGAAATTCAAGGGCGAAATCTAATCCATCATCATGGGAACAAATTCACTCAGTATCAAGCTATTCCTTATCCTGATCAAGTGGACTGAAATGTTCACAAAATATTCACTAAAGAAGGACCTCTCAAGAGCAACTCGGCATCGGGTCGTTCCTCCCTGATGAAGGAAGTATTTTCAATCTCTGTTCGAGTGAATTTTTCCTCACTTGAAATGAGATTTTACTTCGAGAAATTTAGAGTACAGATACAATTCTCCGCAATCGATGTAAGAGGTGGCGTAGGGGAGGAGTGTAACACCTCGATAGGCTTATATTTAGTTTGAAATCTGGCAAATCAGAATCAGTCTTATCACGGAGTGATCTTTGATTGTACGACGAGACACTTCATGAGATCTGGAATACGAAGTGAGAAAAGACACTCACTTTCGCAATCTGTATTCTTCATTTTTTTCGATCAGCCCGTTCCTTTTATCTGATCCGATAAAACAAAGTACAACAACAGAGATAACGAAATATTTTGCCGATAGTATAAAATTTATTGAAACTGTAGCAGCACGTGTGACGGCAAAAAGCGGGTGAATCTTGCAGCGCTTTCTTGAAATCGCTATAATTCGGGAAATAAAACTAGATAATCGAGACTCGTGTAACATTTTCTCTCTTTCTTGTGTTTGTCACTCTAATAGATCGAAATATATGTCTCGATCGTAGACATATAAGATAGACTCAGCATATTGTGCACTTCCTTGTGACATATATCAGGTTCGATAAAACAGAGAGCGAAGCAAAACATCGGTGAATTTCTTCACTCTGTTGCGCGCACATTATTGAAAATAATGGTCGGTAGGTGACAATAATAACCCAAATGTATCATAGAATATCATGAATAATTATGTGAGTTTTATTTCATATTTTCTTTGAAACATTATTTATTTAATTAAACGTCAATGTTATTAGACTAAATTAGACTTTCAATAATTAAATAGACTTTAAATAATGAAATAATTTAATCATGCATAAATCTTTAACGAGAATCTCTGCCATGAAACTATCAAAAGACGGTTACACATTCTATCTACGCAGATCAAAACAGAAAAGTTCCCTTGTATATCGCCTCTCTCTCTGTTTTGCCAAAGACATGCATGCTGTAGTCTACTTTATATGTCTATGGTCTCGCGACCATCGAAATAATACAAAATACTCGTCCCATATTCGAGACTTATCATCGTACGATCAAGACACACCGCATATTCCAAACACGTTTTTTTCTCAAAACATGAGAAAACGCGTGAAAATATATTTGCCAAAATATAAAGCTATGGCAACTGTTGGGGAACTATTTTGAATAGATCTTAGATCGGAATAATTTCGTTTTCCCCATAAAACACAATAGAGAAAGTCGATAACGAAATCCATTCCGAGCAGTTCCACAACAGCTCCCCATGATATTTCCAAAGTATACAAGCTTCAGCTTCCCCTTCGCCACTTCCCCTCGAATAAATGGGATTAAAATGATACGAGGGAGTCTCGTCAGCGATCCGTTGTCGCTTGTTTCCTTCTATCGCAAGTGCTTAAATAGAATAAACAAACGAAAGTTCACCCTCGAGTGAACGTGCGTGTAGATCGAGCGTGTCCCTTTTTATAATTGCGCGATGTTTTGTACGTGAGTTTTACGTATGATTTCCGCGTGTGCGATAGGACGATCCTCGTAGTCGTCGGAAGAGAGAGAGAGAGAAGTCAGCCGTTCGGGTGTCCCTTCGGAAGCGTCGCGCGAGAGTTCAAGTTCGAAAGACCACTGTAACGCCGCGGTCGAGCTCGCGTCTCTCTCGTTGAGTTTGTCGCCGGCGATAACGGTCGTCTGCCGCTTTGCGAACTGCAAGAATGATCTAGTTAATTATTGCGTGATGACCGCGGCTTGAAGACGGGATGGAACCATGTGTGTGGCGAGCGAGATATACAGGCAGACCTATTCTGTAATCCTTTAACGCGTGCGTTACGAAGTTCGCAACGAATGCCTTAAGATTATCTATTCCATCGATACGTTTTAATTAATCACGTTGGCAACGTCGACTTCGCGTTATGCTATTTACAAATAGTGGCAAATTGTATTCTGTAAGCTGATTCAACACGATTCCTAAGGCATTTGCTATCGTTACATAACAATGCAGCGCCCACCGGTTGTAGGACAGCACTAAATGTTGCAATGAGATAGCTGCCTTTGTCATATTGCAAAGATCAGTAATAAGTGATTCTTCCATTACGCAGTCACTATAGTTCACTTCATGGAAAATTGTTTCTTCCCCACGACAGTTTATTTAGCTCTCCTATTTTTCAATACACTAATTCGCTATAATTCAATACACAAAGAACCCAAATTTGTGTTGCGAGATTATGTCTAAAAGTTTCTGAGGAAAATGTTTGTGCCAATGATGGAAATCTTAGATGATGCAAAAAAGGAAAACATGAAACAAAACTTAGCTAAAATAAGAACATTGTGAGATAATGTTAATGCTTTCTTGTGGATATCTTCAAGGACTTATCACTGCCGATCGTCACATTGCTCTGTCGAAATAGTTGTAGATTATGATTCGAAAGTTTCATTCTAATTTGCTCATGTGACGTCCTCACTTCTCTCGGCTTCCTTCTCGTCCATTATGTCATATTTCCGAAAAAAAACCTATGAACAGGAGACAATGCAAAGCACAAACACGGCATACAGAATACAATTTCCGCGTCCATCGACATGAATATCGACATGAAATCTGGATGGAGCATATAATATCAATTAAGCCTAATCCGCAATGTACTCTTTGTGTTTTGTTTCATTATTTCTTTCTTTCGTTTCTTGTCTTCTTATCACTTAGAACCAAGGAACGTTGTCATGTATAATTTCTTCTCTTTGAGGAAAAGTGTCACTTTGCATTGACCAATCAGAATAAGTCGTTTTAGTTAAGTAATAGAGTGACCAACCTTTAACTTCACTGATTTCATAGTGTCTCTTGTGTCTTTCGTTATCGTCGCTTCGAGATAAAAGTTAACGAGCTCCAGAAAAAACAAAAGACACAATTGTCGGTAAAACAGTACATCGAGAAGTAAAGACGCAAGAAATAAAAAATAGAAAACAGAAAGTAAAGAGCACATTGTAGACTAGGCTTTAAGAGGAGGAGATGCATTTTCGGTAAAGGGAAAATTATGTAGTACTTCGGGTCAGTCGGTTCATCATCATTCGGCTTAATCGTGGACAAAAAGATTGGCTGACTTTTTCTAATAAATTTTGGAACGTATCCAAATCCATCTTATCCAATGGAAGATTTTGCTTTTAAATGGGAAAATTCTCCCCAAACAGATGCGTTCTTAAACACAAAAACTAACACAAAAATAGCGGACAACGATCATTTTTTTCTGTTCACGATTATACATACTTGCTTTGTTTATATATATTCACTGGCATGAATGCATTGTCATTAACTAGGATTCATTCAGCGCTGCAAGTGTTTCTGAGCAACAGATAGAAACCAATCATATTGATTTACGTGACGCTTTGAAGCAATTGTGTCAAACAGACCGTGGCTTTTATTACAAAAATTTGATACCAATTGAATTCTCTTCTAGATAGACGTTCCTCATGCCGGTTGACTAAAAGTAAAAGCGAGGGAGATTTTCAAAATCAGCTGGAACATTTCGAGAGCTTGACGTTTTGTTTGCGTCAGCAGGAAAGATTATCTAAGGATAGTCAGAGAGAACAATTTGCAAAAAATTAATTCATATACTATTCATATACTAATATTTAGTTTCTTTAAAGCTCCCGGTATCTCGCCAGGGCCATCTTGATTAATGACGTCAAAAACGAGAAAACCCATGCCCAAAATTCTTGCTGAAATAAAAGGATATGTTCATAACATTCTCTTGGACCGACTTTTGGAATCAATTGAACACATTTGTCGAACATTTCAAAAACGTTCCTTTTGCTCCAGCAAGCAATAAATCGTGAAATTAACATGACATGCAACCATCTTTTTTAATTTATCTTTTCTCATGATTTTGTCTCGTTAATTGTATGGCTACTGATCGTCAAGGGAAAACAATCCAGCAAGCACAATTATATAGTTGTTACATTGTCGTAATATAACGAAATACATCAACACTATAACATGTAATTTACAATATAACATGTAATTTACAATATAACATGTAATTTACATGTATATTACACATGTATATTACATGTAACATACACATTAGTTGCAATTTCCTGCTCAAACGATATTACAGATAACAAAAATATAACTTGTAACATGTTACATAACTGTTATATTAATTACTACAAGATTATATAATAGTTATACATCAATATCAATTATGCTTAAACGTGATGTGGTTGAAATATAATTTGTACATCTCTCAACACACACTATAGATATGTAATTGAATGCAGCAGTTAGCAAGCTGTTCAGTCAAATATCAACCAGAAAAAAAGTATATTTCCAAAAAAACTGTTATGAAATAATTATTTCATAACAAAAGTAATATTTATATTAAATCTAACAATATAAAAGAATTTTGCCATCTTAGATTCGATTAGCTATTACAATTTATTAATTCCCGTCTCCATACATGAATTTCAATGGAAAGGATTATTACTGTGACAGTACTAATCCTTACCAATTACTATTAATGAAAAGAGCATCACAGTTGTAAAAATATACTACACAGCACAAATTTTGTAGTATCATGATTATTGTTCATAAGAACGGTGATTACATTATTAACATGTATAAATACGTTAAAGCATGATATTTTATATATGAGAAATATATGAGATATCATTTAACAGAAAATACATATAAAAAATGTTATTTAACATGTTATATTTAAGTTATATTACTGTTATACTCAGAATTGCTATTATAACCAATAAATCACGGACCAATATAACAGTTTTAAAAGATATATAAAGTCATATTGCAGTGGTATAAAAGTAGATTATGGATAACCTTAATATTAGAATTATGTAACACCTCTGTTACATTACATGTTACTTCTATAATACACGTGTATATATAGTAACAATATCCTGTTTTTACTGGAGAAAATTTTCGAAAGAATATTTCATGTGCTCAATCGCGATCACTAGTGTCATTTTATGAATGCTTTTATTTCGACGTATTCTGTAAGAATTTTTGGCGTACGTTTCCTCGCTTCCAACATAATTAATCAAGATGGTTGTGACGAGGACACGGGAGTTTTAAATACATAATCACTGAATTTTCTTGATGAAAGAGAGATTGTATGGAAGCGAATTAACCTTCCTTTCTCTTTGATGACGTAAAGAAAACATCAAATTGTCAAAGTATACATCTTACAATACATTAGCACTACATCTCTTATGTGAGATTTAAAGACAAAAATTGATGGATAGCTATATTTCTTTCACAAGCATTCCATCTTTGTATAGTTTAACTCCTATTGAAAAAAGCTAGACGAAACATTCAACAGGAATCAAGCTAGATAAAAAAAAATCGAATGCCTCCACTAAGGACAGCCTTTTTTTGGTCTAGTCTTCGCAGCCTCTCGTGAAATTCAGGTTATATATGTACGTCTATGGTGGACTTACGACATATTGACGTAGCAAATTTTTCCGAAAATACTACATATTTCAGTTTGTTGCAAACATTACAGTTCTAGCGTAAAATGAAGCCGAATATATCTGAAAAAACCGCGATGAAGTTACCCGAAATATTATGACTTTCTCTTACCACTAATTAAACCTTCCCCTCGTAGAATGCTTTGTGGAATGCTTGTCTATATACAGTAGGACCATGTTATAAGTCCTCCTGCTATTAGTCCTTTCCCCTCTACGTCTATTTTCCTAACACTAATTAGTTTCCTCCATATTACTGCTCACTAACTATTTCTCAACATAACTCTGCACGCACACATGCTTGAGTTTGCGCATACAGTCGGCAGAGATTAGACTTCAGCGCTATTGGAGAGAAGGGTCTCGTTAAATGTCCGTCTTATATTCCTACAATCCCAAAATTTGACTTACAACGAGCTTCTATTGTATGCACATATCGATGCTGCATTATACAGGGTGTATAATCGATAATATCAGCTGACAGCGAGAAGTATGCTTCATTTTCGGCGCACAGCCCTGTATCACACGCCGGTCGCTATCATTTAATGTCTGCTATTGTCCTAGGTGATCCTAAGAAGTAAAACATCTCTCTTACAAATTGGAAGTCATCTTTCTCTAGACATGCCTATAGAGTCCGTCCTATCATTTCCCATGCGCATATTCGCTTTCAAATATTGTTTAATTAATTTCTTAATAATTATTGCGAAATTTACAAAGTAGCTTCCATGTTCAGCTTGATCCATTTTATCTGCGCGTGGATGTTATACTTCCATTGTGTGTGTGTCAGACACTCTATATAGAATAGCATATATACATTAATAGAATAACGCATAGATCGTTAACAGGATTAACGAAATATTGTAACGCAAAAAGTTACAGAATAGGTCCGCGGTATGGATAACACGACAAGACGTACTGCCAGTATCGTATGTATATATTATCATCGTCAGACTCTTTCACATGTACACGTACACATACAAACACACATCCTCCTTTTGTCTCCACTCCCTTTTTTAACATATAACTATTCTACAATTACACAGAAAGTATTACGCATAATTATACGTTAAATACCGTTTCTTATGGCAATTATAGAGCACGCAACGCGAGCTCGTAAAGGTAGCGCTCGACGCGTTACTTCCAAGGCGGATCCTCCATGATCCCGGAGGGGTGAGTCGTCACTTCGGCGACATGTGTTTAGTGTTCTCCGTATGATATTTCAATGAGACTCCATCCCTTTGACACATGGCATCTCTCATGTGAATCCATCTAAGAACCGTAACCAGCATTATTGGCGAGTTATCACTAACGTTCAGCAGTAAAAATAACTCGGTGAGCGCTTAACCTCTTAGCTACTGTACGCCACTATAGTGGCTTTCGCGTATATCATCTTTCTGAATGATACGTCACTATAGTGGCTCACTCTTATTTCTAATAAATTATAATTTATTCATCTAAAACTGTATTCGAATGTACTTGCGTAGTAAAAAACATTACCAGACACAAATTGCAGTGCTGCATTGTTTACGCGCAGTTCACGTCGAACTTTGCCGTACAGAGATACAGCTCCGCGAAAAGTGCTGCCGTAGCTAAGAGGTTAATAATTATTGTTCCTGATTAATACATTTCCTATCAATCAAATTCTATCAAAGTTTTAAAAAAAGTACCCTAGTCGCAGATAACAATCATTAAGCGTTCATTGAGCTACTTTCTACGCTGAATGTAACCATCGTTAACCCATTTGCATCATTAGTGACTTGAAAAATATACTCGTGATACGATATTTCATCATGATATTTGCGACTACTTTCTACCATACTCAGAAGTCTAAAATATCAAAAAAATATATCCATATTACTGAATCCTAATACTATAGAAATATTTTTAGAATTGATAGCATTGCTTACAAACTGATATAAATTATTATGTTGAGCTAGCCTCAACTGCAAGTGGATATATTGGCTTCCGTGATAATGACCAGACGAAATAACGGATATATCCGTTTATGATGCAAATGGATTGAAGATCAAAGTAAATTTTTCGTGATTACAAGAAAGACTTCGGAAGTAATCGGAGAAGGATGGTATCGTCGACCATTTTTAATTATTCGATATAAATATATCTGGCCATTTAGTGTATAATAAAGGATTAATTTTATAATTTACAACTATCTCAGTGTTTTATCATTACGTGCACAGACTTATAGTAAACAATATTAGACATTTTTGTGTAAACTGCAATTATGTACACTGATTGAATGATGACAGAAAATTCGTCGACAGGAGATTATTTAACATTTAAATTTTTCATGCACGCCAAATCCCACAAAGTCGACAGTCTTTAGTCTTACCTGGTTGGTGCCGGCACGTATCAGGAATTATTCGCTTCATCGTGTGATCCGATAAAGTACGATGGTCAACATCTTCAAGGCTTTTGTTTTCTAAATCCAAGATGGAGTCTTGATATTTCTTTAAAACAAAATTTTTAAGAAAATAAAATATATTCAAAAAATGACTTACAATCGATTAAAGTTCCTGACTACTCGCCGCGGTCACCTTGATTTTTAACATCAGAAGCGAGCAAATATATATCCAAAATTCCTACAAAGTTCGAAACAAAACGATATATCCAAAAAATGTCACTCTTAATCGATTAAGTACACCTCTAAAATATTCCAAGTACTCCTCTTTTGCTCTAATAATCCGATAAAAAACTATAAAATTAATGTAACAAAGTAATGAGAAAATATAAATTAAAAAGGAAGGTTGCGTGTTACAATTATTTATTAATTTTTAAAACAAGAGGAAAGTACTTGGAGTATTTTAGAGGTGTATTTAATCGATTATTTCATTTTTTGGATGTATCTTTTTATTTCGACCTACTTTACAGGAATGTTGGACATGCATTTCCTCGCTTTTGACTTCATCAACCAAAAGTTCCGCGGCGAGTAGCCAGGAAACTTTAAAGAGCTAGTAAGAAAAACGTCTTGGTCAAAACCAGTTGAACTCACGAATTGTTATTTTATTCCATCTCTGTAACGAGAGAAACACTAAATAAAGAAGGCGTAAGCTTTTTTCCTTTGTATTGACAAAAAATTCCTGTGCCGAGCGCATCATGTTATTGTCTTATTATGTTATTGTCTTATCGTGAAACTTCAATTTCGTTCGTTGATAATTTTTCATACTTAAAGAGTCCATAATTAAAATAACGCCAAATTTCACACAAAATTAACATAAATTACAATCGACAATTACGCAAATTGGCTCTCTTTAGTTAAAGGATATTCTTTGCTCACTCGCTCTCCAATAAAACTGTCGTCAATTCCTTCTTCCACAAGAATGGCACACAATCAGAAATAATTCCGCAACACAATATCGTTAATGTAAAATGCAAAATTTACATCGAAATTTCAGCATCTTCAAGCAACAGAATGTTGCGTACACGAGAATTTTAATAGGAATTTGAAGTATTTTTCAGTATTTCATATGTGTATGTGTGTTTGATATGTTTATCAATATTTTATGTGTATATATGTTTTTGATATCATTTTATTCCGAATTTTCCGAAAATTCCGATTTTTGTGTTAAAAAATCGAATCGATATTGTTTCAACATCCCCCTGACACTCGATCTATATAAATTTATAATAGCTTGTAAAACATTATTATTAAACTTTTTAACGCAACTTTTTGTTGCTCAGAAATGCCAAGATTTTAATACAAATTTCGAATCGACAATTTTCGACATTACCGACATCGTTTTGACCAATTATTTTTTACTAACGCAAACACGCTTCTCGGAAACCAAACCGGTAAAAAAAGCATGCTCATTTTTTGTCTCATTTTCTCACATTCGTTTATTGGTGTTTTTTGCAGGCATCATATAACTTAGCGCGGATTTTAATTCGCTAAACGACCTGAATCGTTAGACTTAGTATCTAGGAAAATGAAAAAACATATGCTAATCGTGGTCGGTCTTGAATATCTCATATGCAAACTCCCTTTTTCTAGAGAGTTTGCGCTCCAAGTATGTCAATAGCAGTGCCATAAAAATATTCTTATAAAATTTAAAAAACGGCGCAACAACGCTTTTTGGGTTTCAAAACCAAATCAGCTGCCACTAATTCTCAACCTAATTTAAAACCCATCTTGTCTTTCGAGTTTTATCAAATTTTTGATGAAGCCGCCACACTGAGAAAAAAGATTGATTGATCTCATTATATTCATTATAAATCGTTATATATTTTCTTGTTCTATCAAAAAGTATTAACGGTGATACGTATATAAGGTTATTATCATTATAAACTATAAATAACACTCGTTACTTTCTAATTTCTCGAAGTGAAATTCTATTAAAAAAAAGTATAACTTGAATTGGAGTAATTTTTTATTTAAATAGAGTAAGATTTCCCCCCTGAATCGTTGAATGGATATTTTCATTGGAAATTGAAGAGTGAATTTGAAGCAAATTAATTCGCATAAAGTGTCTCACATAAAGAATTTATTTTTATCCACAAAAGACTCATGTTTTCCGTTAACGTAAATCAGACTTATGGATCCACAGAATTTGCATCTTATTATATAATGATAATTTGTTCAAAATTGAATAAAAGTTAAACTCACAGTTCAATTAGAATAAAAGTTTATTCTGAGTATTTTATATTTATTGTTTTTCGAGATTCAGCTTATGAAAGAAATACTTTAGAACTTCTTTAATACAGAACGTATAGTTTGAGAAAATTATGATATGATTGTCATTAAAAATATAGTAATTATTATGTATATTTTATAATATTTTAAGACAGATAAAGGCATTAAAAAAATTAGAAAAAAATAATAATTTGTGTATTTATTTGGTATTTTCATTGAATATTTCACGAAATAAGATACAAAGCAAAAACGTTTGATGTCTTCTAAGTTTATTAACCTTATTAATCTTATTTCTAATAAATTATAATTTATTCATCTAAAACTATATTCTAATGAACTTGCGTAGTGAAAAGCATTACCAGACACAAATCGCAGTGCTGCATTGTTTACGCGCAATACGCGTCGAACTTTGCCGTACAGAGATACAGTTCTGCGAAAAGTCGTAGCTAAGAGGTTAAAATACTTTTTTTCACTTGAGCCATTTTTTTCAAAATTAATTATATAGAATAAGTTTATATAGAATAACTAATTATATAGAATAAAATGAAAACTTCAAAATTACCCAAACTTTCAAAATATGTTTATCTTCATCAGTAGAATGAATATATGCAAGATGTTTTTCAACATTGGAATTTTAATCAATGGAAACTGCCGATTTGAATCGCTCCGCGGATGAGCAATTACTGACTAATCCCAACAGGCTTCTGACTCTTAAATATCCTTACCTCAAACATTTTTCCCACAGAGATTTCGCCAGTGTGTACAGATTTTCGAGAAATGTTAGATAATTGAAATCGTCCGGACTTCATGGATCCATGAGTCTGCTGAGAGTAAAGCCTAACCTACAATGTGCTCTTTGCGTTCTGTCTTTTCTGGCTTAAACCTTAAGGTTTGAGTCAGAAAGAGATAAAGCCTGATCTACAATATGCTCTTTGCTTTCTGCTTTCTCTTTATCTCTTTCTGACTCAAATCTTAAGTTTTAAGCTAGAAAAAGACAGAAGATAAGAAACAGAATACAAAGAGCATATTGTAGATCAAGCTTAAAGAGGAAGAAACAAGAATCAAAGATTCTTACACATTGTAGATCAAGCTTAAAGCTTCAATGAAATATTCGCTCTTGCTTCTGATGGGCGATATATTTTCATATATCACTTCAAGTAAATTTTCACTCGTTCCAAAGGAAATTTCACTCCAAGAAATTTAGAGAAATAATACAAATTTAATGACTTAAATTAATAAATATAGTTTTCCTGATTATACTTGTTTTGTTATGCAACTATAATTACAAATGCCAAACATTTCTTTTTTTCAGTGTACGGCACCATTGAGAAGCACAAAAACTTAAAATATATGTCTGGAAGAAACTGTTGTATATATACGGAGTTGTGTTGTGCGTTGTGCGTGACATGTATGACTATTTAAACGTCTCGCGCCTAATCAAATTGACCAAGTCATAAGTGAGTGAAACCAATTCGTAAATAGTCGATTGTACTGTTAACGTAAATCGGACGTTACGTTATATAATCACTGTGGAAAACTGTTACTTTTACCGTATAACGATTGCTGAGTCTACGGTGCCTGGACGATGGATGTATGTATGTGTGTATGTGTACGCGCGCGAAGATCGATTAATCCTTAATATTATCTTCGATAATAAATATAGCGTGTTAATTTGAATATTAATCACGATGTTTTATTGAGCGATATGTGTCACGAGACTATTTAATCACCAACATGAACCGACACTATTGTATTGTACGTTGAGATCGACAGTTTTGTTCCACTAAAATATTGTGTTCGATTATGGAGAAGAGAGGATGTCGCGCGATCGTTTCTAAAATTAGTAGCGTAGAATACGTCATAAGTTTCTCGTACCAGCAACGTGTTCGTCGTGAAGGGACTTTTATTCGTAAAGCGTATACTTTCGACAATATTCTAAGAGATAAGAATATCATTTTGTCCAAAGTGTTCGTTATTTCGTGCTACTCACGACTCTCATCAACGAATGATCGATCGACAGCGTCTTCGTGCCAATAAGAACAACAACAACAACTGTCGGAACTGACCTTCTTTTATATTATTTGCGAAAGAAGAAAACCCTCTTCCCACACCACACCACCGCTGTTCGCAGGTTCAAATTTTTTAGCGACATTATTCTAGTAATGATAAGTGAGACTCGACGCGATCAGCAGGCATCGAGAACCGCCTACGTGGGCGAAATCGAATCTGTAATTTTCGTGCGGAGAGGAATGACTGTAACGCGCGGGACGTAAACAAAAAATAACGAGGAGCGTGTACTTTATGCAAATGCACTTTGTTTGGTTATACATGTGTATGCGTGTGTGTGAATGCGTGTGTGCACGCCTGTGTGCGTACGTACGAATGCGATAGACCCTAAAAAAGAGACGAGGCAGGCGATATTTCGAAATCGATCGTTCACTGGCCTTGTTTACACCGGTCGTTTGGTACACGTATGTGCCAGCTAATAATTTTATACTAAATTATCTTTATCTCGCGGTGAG